CCTTTACCGGATTACAAAGTAACATGGCTCTGGGGACGGGGTGGGGGGGGGGGATGATAAGCACACCCGCTCAACAGCTGCAGACCAGCCTGCTCCTTTACCGGATTACAAAGTAACATGGCTCTGGGGAGGGGGAGGGGGGGGGGGATGATAAGCACACCCGCTCAACTGCTGCAAACCAGCCTGCTCCTTTACCGGATACTGGGGAGGGGGTGGGGGGGGGTTGGTATGATAAGCACATCCCTCAACTGCTGCAGACCAGCCTGCTCCTTTACCGGATTACAAAGTAACATGGCTCTGGGGAGGGGGAGGGGGATGATAAGCACACCCGCTCAACTGCTGCAACCAGCCTGCTCCTTTACCGGATTACAAAGTAACATGGCTCTGGGGAGGGGGTGGGGGGGGGTTGGTATGATAAGCACACCCGCTCAACAGCTGCAGACCAGCCTGCTCCTTTACCGGATTACAAAGTAACATGGCTCTGGGAGGGGGGGGGGGCACACCCGCTCAACTGCTGCAAACCAGCCTGCTCCTTTACCGGATTACAAAGTAACATGGCTCTGGGGAGGGGGTGGGGGGGGGTTGGTATGATAAGCACATCCGCTCAACTGCTGCAGACCAGCCTGCTCCTTTACCGGATTACAAAGTAACACGCACACGCACACACACACACAGAGGCTCACACATGCAAACATACGCACGCCTACACACGCACACACAGGCTCACACATGCAAACATACGCACGCCTACGAACATGCGCCGCAGGGCCTACATGTCAACACGCATGCACATAACCACATACATGGACTCGCCAGCATACATAGTAACATACGTCATGAAACATACACGTCACATATGTCATGCGATATACACGCCAACAAGCACAAACAAGCGCATTCCTGCTCGCGCATGCGCGTATATAAACATACATCGCGAGGCACACATATCAACACGCATGCATGCGCGACAAGCCTTCTGCAAAAAGCGATCCCGGAGCGATCCATTTGCGCGATCCCTAAGCGAACCATTCGCGCGACGCCTAAGCGACCCACTGCCCCGCCGGCAAGGCGGGGACACTGAGGCCGACCCACAGATGTACGCAACATAGGGTTCGGCATGACCGCCCGCAGGAGTCCCCACGTGCCCGGTGTGTCAAGAGATCTTTTGATAAGTTTAATCATTTGACTTTCCACTATGAGGCAGAGCATTCCGTTTGCCGCCCCGCGCTCACTACGGGGCAGTCTTTCACACGCAACAAGCGCCAGCACTCGTACAGGCGGAGCACACAGCTCAAGTCGCACGAACGCCCCGCCACATGACCACTACCACGTTTAGTATTTACAACACATAGGCTCGCTGGAGCAAGTGGGAGGACGGCCGCGGCGCCTTTGCCGTCAAGCTGGCATTTATACACTGATGGGTCGGGGCGGACGAAGCTACAATTAGCTGTCTATGGACAGGAAAACCCGCACCCCGACCTTCCATGGCTCGCGGCGCTGTATGGGTCGGCGCTTGTGGCAGCATATGACCCTATTTGGCTGGGGCCAGAGAAAAGACAAACAATATAGGAGAGCTTAGCGCGGTAGGGGAAGCGCGCCGATGGTTGTTGCAGTTGCACAGGAGGCTTTTTGAGGATCATCCCCGGCAGGCTACCATTTATTACGATTTGCAAAATTGCCACGGGCCTGGCAAGAGCACGCGCCAACCAGGAGTTGGGCACACGTGGTTGCGCGGTGCGCCGGCAGTTTCGGATGAGCTTCATACATGTGGCAGATCGTTTAGCCGATCAGGGACGAATCTTGCCGCACGCCCAAGCATGGGTAGATCGCCCGGAAGGGCCAATGGGGCAGGCCCCGGCGGGCCCGGCGTCGACGGCGTAGAAACAACAATGACGGAGACGCGGCGCCGGCGAGACCCCCAGGAAGACACCCATGGTGGAATGCCGGCACTGCCGCCAATCATTTCGCAACTGCGATCTTCCGCGGCATGAGCCTGAGTGCAGGGGCCCGAAAAGACGCCAACCGCACACACCGGCAAGGTTTTGGGGACTGTGGCGGCGAGGAAAATCATGAGCGTTACACACACTCTCGGAAGAAGCTCTCCGAGATGGTCTTATCGGCAAACTCCCTAAGAAGCGGACTGGGGCTTAGATCATTATACATGTTCGGTCAGGTTGTCGACTGCTCAGATCGCAGCAACGGTCAGCTCCAAGACACTTGCCTGCTTCTGCGCGGTTCGTGACGCCATGGACGAGTTGGACCGCCAGCTGTCCGACGTGGAGTCGCGCACGCCGGCACTCGAAGGGCGGGGAGTCTGCGCACCGGTTTGCCCGTGGAAGGAAGCCAGAGCCTGCCGGATGTTCTGGGCCGTGTGGCGAGCGGTGAGCTGGCGTGGTCTGAGTGTGCCGCGGCCATCACTCAGGAAATACGCCAAGCTCTGGGTCGAGAAATCGATGAAGGCTACGGCCAAGGCGCAGAATTTGTCGAACGGCCGCAGCCGGCGCCTGCGGCCAGTGGACGGCCTTGTGGAGCGGGTCACGGCTTCGGGCAATGCTTTCAATATACGGCTGGCCCAGGGAGAACCAACCGAGCCGCTACGGAACAGGGCAATTAATTACACATCAAAAAAAGAAAATGAGAAGAAATTAATTACACGTTGGATTATATAAACTCTAAACGGTACAACACAATGTGATCATTTTATTCCTGTAACATATTGATTGCTTTTACTTGAGGAAGGAAGCAGAAATTGTGCGGGGTTGCTGCTTGTTGTGAAAATTCCTGTGTGTGTGTTGCGGCGCCTTTGGGTTTTCTTCTGCTGCTCTTGCTGCAGCTATGCCCGCAGCCCGGCCAAAGGCTGCGGCCCGCGCCGCCCCGCACAGCTCTGTGCGACATCGTTGGGGGACGACGCGGCCGGGCACGTGTTGCCTCCCAGTATTTGCGCGCAGGACTGCTTGCGCGAAGCAGCGTCTTGCAGCTCTTGTTCTTGCTGTTGATGTTGCCGTTGCCGTTGCTGTTGCTGTTGGTGTTGCCGTTGCTGCTGCCAGCTGCTGCTGTTGCGACTGCGGTTGCGGTTGTTGCGGTTGCGTTTGATGTTGCTGTTGCTGTTGTTGCTGCGACTCGCATATCAGTTTCTTGCATCAAGCTTACTTGCAAAGGCGCTACTTGCTTGGCTGCAAACCGTTGTTCTGCTGCCGCGGCCGGTTGTGCGTCAGCGACGTAAATCTGGCCGGGGGCCGACACGTGTTTGCAGAGGATGATCTGCTTCTGGCGGGTCTGCAGGCTGGCACGCGTGTATCTGCGGCTTGCCAGGTGAGGCGATGGGGGCGATGCTGGGGAAGGTGACTGGAGCAGTCTTTCAAAAAGCACCGTGCAGTTGGCTGAAGACTGGAAAAAACGCGTTTGACCAGGCTGGTCCAAGCTGCTTCGCGTGGCAAACCTGCGTGGCTGAAAGCTTCAATCTTCTACGTAAGAGCCTTAACTGGATGCTTTTCATCTTGTCGAAGCTGGCGGGTGAGAACGATTCCAAGGTGCAAATATACTTGGATAAAGGTCCCAAAACCAGAGCTAAGGGGAAGTCCAAGGGGAAAGGACAGCAGGACGGCAAAGGCAAAGAGAAGGCGGCGGGACGTGGCAAAGGCAAGGGCAAGGGGAAGGCTCCGGATGCCGAGCGAATGCCCGGGCAGACGCCTGGAGGATGTGGTTGCGACATTTCTTGGAGTTCCATGTTTACAGGATGTTCACTATACAAATCCAGGCCAGCACCAAGCAGGAAGTGGCAGTCCCGTTCAAGCACGTGGCTTTGTCTGCGCTGAGTGAGTGAAGCGCGGAGGAGCTGAACGAAGCGTGTCAGCCCACTCTGCCCCTTGCGGCAGGCTACTTACCTCTAAGGGTGAGTTGGCCGTCCCGTTCAAGCAAGTGTTTTCACCCCCGGGCAGTAGCTGCTGCGGTCACCACCTGAGAGCGCCGACTGACGCTATGGGTGTGTTGCTGCGTGCTCCCTTTGCTCTAGCACCTCTCCCTCTTGCTCTTTCCCTCTCGGGCCGAAGAGGTTTGTCAAAAGTTCATGGCAGCTCCGACATGGGACGTCGACTGTAGTTCTGTGGATAGCAGCTTGGGTGCCTGCCGCTCTTGATGAGAAGCAACAGCGATGGTGTAACACCATCCGAAAAGCAAGGCTCCGTTGTCCTTCATTGTTTGCACGCATGCGGCTTTCTTAACATTCTAACAATGTGTTGGATGAAGTCACTTAATCAAGGAATGGATTTCCAAGGAATGACACGGTTTGTAGAAGTGTCACCACATTGTGTCACATGGCTAGAATGGCTCTTATTGTTGTCTCGTTGTTCGAGGTGAAGCTTTAACACTTCAAAAAGTAAAGTGTGCAACGCCATGCCTCTACATTGTTCGTTGCAGCGGTTTAGTAAAAAAACTGCGGAAAACGCTGAACAACCAGGGCACACAGGGCGTCCCACTCTCCAAGATTTAGGGTTTTGGGGTTTAGGGTTTGGGTGTTTAAGGTTTACTTTCAGTAGCCGAGTTTGCAAGATGGGCTACCATGACCATGGTCGGAACTTAGCCCTCCAAATTCCCAAACAACTGGCCCTGCGAAGTAATGCGATGTTCTTTCTGCCCAGAATATCTTAGGATCCCCGTTTCAACCCGCCTCACACTGAATTAATACTTGCCTTGTAAGAAGAGCTCGGAAGGAAGCTCGCTTTAGCCTTCTCAAAAAGCGATGCTTCAAAGGGTGAATGGGCTAAAAAAGCAGCAAAAGGAGGACACATGTATGTCAAAACCACCAAACATGATTTTGTGCTGCAGCATCCCCACCACACATGATCTCCATCCTCCATTTCTGTGAAGTGATTTGGCTTGATGGCGTTGGGTTTAGGGTTGATCCCCTTGGCCCAACTCTGATGGTCCACCAAGAATAGGATGTGTATATTTATCTGCTTCATATCTACGTCGCAACATATCACAAACACTGAGGATCCGGCGGGCCTTGGGAATACCAGAGCCAGCGGGGCGAGTGGGGCTATGCGTCGGCCTTGGCTGAAGCCATGCTGAGGGCCGACCCTTCTAGAGACCATGGGCTTGGAAACCATGTTTCCATTGGGTTCCCGAACCCAACAAACAAAAAGGGGCCTCAAATTCGTTCCAGGGATCCGCTTTTTCAAGAATGGAAGATGGACTTCCCTGCCAAATGATGGGCTTCAAGTTATATAGTTCTATACGGAAGCCGCCACCAACATGATCCAAACAAAACAGTGGCTGAAGGGAATCGAAAGCCAACAAAAAATTAGAGGGCTGCTAAAACGGTGATGGATTCTCAGGTGTCCTTTTGAAACAAGATGGGTGCTACTGGTTACATGAAAAAGAAACCCAAGTGAATCCTGTGGACGCCGTCTGACCTAAAATGAACACCTATGAAGGGGCCGCTTTACCCACAAGTCCCATTTCACTCCTTTTGGGCTGGCTCAGGCCGACTCTCGGAGCTAGAACACCTACAGCCCCAATTCCGCGTGAGATAACCAAAGCGAAACGCCAGGATTGTCCTGACCTTGGAGAAGTTCTTCAGGGCATTGGCACAGGTCCAAAAAAGGCAAACCAGAGGGAGTCTGCCAACCCATGAGCCATGAGGTTGCCAGTCTTGTTTGGTGAGATCAGTGTGGTTCACGTGTTCAGTGGGAGAAAGGAGACACGTGTCTAGTTTTCCCATGCAGTGCGCTCTCGCAACCACACAGTTGGTTCTGACATCATGGCCTCATAAACCTTGGTGAGATGTTCTACATGGTCAAGTGTTCCCAATCTTTGTGAACAATGGTAACAGAAACGATCAGGTGTCCTGAACCTTCAAAACTCGGCCTGCATGTCGCACTTGGTGAGAGTCCGAACTTGGTGAGAAACCGAAATGTCACTCACCATTCCTGACACGTTGTCAGAGTTCACACAGCATAAACATCTGGTAAGATCTAACAGATTGTCAGGTTGCCCAAACATTCCCGTTGCCGCGCCCCTTCACTCCGCGCGGCCCGTGCACAGTGCGCACGGTTCCATGTGCCGCGCGGGCGGCGGTGTGGACTGGAGCTGCCGCTTTCGCGCTCGGCGCTTTCGCGGGTGATCGACGCTCCTCCCCGATCTGAATGTTTGGCATCGCAGAGTTTTAGCAGGTTGAGAAAGTTTGCGCCGTGAAACACCCTAACAAAGCCTAAAATACACAAACCATGGCCCGATAGATGTTCAAACGACCTAAAATGGACATTTGAGGACCCCTGCTTGAAGCAAATCAAGGAGCCCAACATTTTGGGTCCTTGACTTTAGGCACTGTTATATACAATGTTTTAGTAGTTGACTCCATATCCATTGCTGTTCAACTGTTGCTCTTTTAAAACAGCCATTGTTTGCGCCCACAACCCGCTGGGTTGGCCCCATTGTATATTTGTCCACGGATGACCCTTCCATCAGTTCAAGGGAACATCAGCAATACATCCACCAAGCATTACTCTCATGCAAGTTGACCTGGAACCTAACAACCCTGCTCCTTCTGGGAAACCTCTTTGTGGGTTCCATGTTTGCAGGGGAGTAAACGGTTCCGCCCATCGCAGCAACGGCAAGTTTTCCCAGAGCTTAGGCCCGCTTTCTGAAGTGAAAAGAACGGGGATGGCCCCAATTCGTTGAAGACTTTCCAAAATGGTTTGCCTTGCCTTGGGCAAAAATAGGGAACCATACTTTGGCGGGGACCTTTTGTTTCGCCTCACGCCAATCAGGAAAACCATGTTCCAGCTCACACTTTTGACATGCCCCTAGGGGCTAATGACAAGGATGGGTAAGCAAATCCAGGAACTGCCACTATTTTGCATTCTGGCTTCTGGCCACGTTCGCATATCATTGGGAGTTCCCATGGCTCTGTTTCAACGGTGCTACCGACGATGTTGAAAAGCCACGGCGCCATTTCAGCACCCGTGAAAGCGTTTGTTCGAAGCCACGAGAATGATAAACTGTTGCACGGGTAAGGTCATGGTGGGGAAGCCCACTGAAAAGAACGCGGCAACACCCCAAACATGTGAGCAGGGTCATTAACAGGGGCTTCCTCTGCGCTAATACAATCTCCATTGCAGGTGGGAAGGAACTTGTTGGAAGCTCCGTAAAGAATCAAAGGGCACTTTTAAGGGACCTAAAAAGGATGTAGTAGTGGTGAGTAGTTGCGGTGCACCTTCTTTGTGGAAGATAAGCACCTGTCCAACTAAACAGGGAGTAGAACTTCTTGCTGGATTGGCCAGTATGGGTTGGATTTTGGCGAAGTGGGAGCATTGGGTGCAACATGACTTGGCGGTGGCTCAGCTTGTGTTCGTCCTCCCCTCAAACAAAGTGTCAAGCATCCCGGGGCCTCCAACGGCTTTGGGGGGGGCCTTCCCATGGGCTCCCATGGTACCCTTTTCGGGGCCTTCCCTTGGTTTTTCAGGAAACCAAAGAAAGGAACCAAAGCACACAATTTATTGGGCGCCCAGCACTTAAGCACTTGGGATTCGACCATCTGTCTCCTGCACACCTCTCGTCCTGGGCGAGACCTCTCGCAGGTTTGCCATACGGCGATCCTCCTGGCACATTGACATGCGTCCCTCCGAGACAAGCCGTATGTCACCAGGTTCGACTCCCCTGCTCTACGGCCAGTTTGGGGCGCCGCAGCCATTTTGGGGGTCAGCCCCACAAAATCCTAGGGAAAATGCGCAAAAATTAGCCGCAGAAAAACCACGAAAACATGAGCCACGTTCCGCCACGTTCGCAACGCCGGAGGCCTGAGCCTGAAAAACGCTACTGCTTTCACCTCGTTTTGACCGTGTGAGACACGATGCAGGAGCTGACGGGACCAAACGAATCTGCAGTCCATGTCCTACATCACACGGATCTATGTCCTTTGTCCAACAACAAATGGATCCTAACCGATATGAAGCTCGTTGCCCAGTGCGCTCGCCATACAATCAGTCAACCGCTCAAAGGGGCACTTGCAATGCAACAAACACGCAAGTTTCAAACAAACAAGTGCACAGATCGAAACATGACAGGAGAACTGCATGTGTGTTTTGGACGACCAAGGCGCAAGAGCGCAAAACTCACATCAATCAAGGGAACCAAACAAAACAACTGCATTGCGATAAGGCGCCTATTTTGTTTTGCATTTCGTTCGTCACACGCGTGGACTATTGGTATCCAGGATAACCTCCCCACAGTACCCCACAGCTCCTTGTGTGACACGTCACCGCCCCTTGCAAAAACACTGAACTCGGGACGTGTGCCTTCTCCATGAAGCACTTGGAGTCCCGCAATGAGACAAAGCCAAAGAAAAACTAAGGAAAACCACAGTGACTCCCCGCCCAGCCCGCCGTCGTGCGCACGTGCATGACGAAGCTGACATCCGAGCTTGATCACAATGCTGCAAGGCCAAGATGTAACGCGAGTGCCAAAGCGGAAGCAAAGCGGAAGCTTCAGATTACATTGGCCATTTTCGTGGGCCTCAGTTTCGAACCAGTACAGTACGTGCCGTTTCCTTGAGCATGTCCAAAAAGCTTAGGGAATCGGATATGCCTCGTGCATGTTGCAATGCCAATTTGCAACCCCCCCAAGCTGCCCAGGCCCAGCTTTGGATTTCAGACGCAAGGGATGTGTTTGAAGGGTTTGTTGCTTTCTTCGACCTATTTGGGTGACATTGATTGTCTAAAACAAAGGGATGATATTGAAATGGAGCATGAGCCAACAAAAGATCCAGTGTGTACTCATCGTCCATGAAGGTCTTGACTACGTGCGAAACCCCTCAGGGGAAAGGGTTTATTCCTTCCAAAAGAGCCCTGGGTCTCTCCTGCATGCGTGACCCACAGAAAGAGAATTCAGAGAAAAACACTGATAAAGGAAGATGGGCATCCAAATCGCCCCCTTGGATCGGAAGTCGTGTAGCGGGCGTCCGGAAAGGGAACCTTGCCCTCTTGAGTCAACTCCCTGTCAATCATGGGCCTGATTCTTGATGAGGAACCCCTTGACATTTGCATGGGGGTTGATGTCCGCAGACCATGTTGGAAGTGTTCCAAAGGGTTCTTCGTACTCGCATCTCCTAGTTATGATTTGAATTTGAGGTCAGCGAACTCAACAGGGAAAGAAACCTAGCGAACCAGAAATCGGGTCCTTTGTTAATTTCGCACTCGTTGAACGCGCCCGAACACAGTTTGTACTTTGGGGCACATGGATCTTGAGCCAAATGGACCTTGCCATCCGCAGAAACCTATCAACTTGCGAAGCAATCACGAGGCCTTGTGACATGTGTGTTTTGGGGCGCCACTTTGGGGGCCCAGGGCCGTGAATATTCAACTCCCCCCTCCCCGAGTTCACGAAGATACACTGTTTTACAATCGCGCTTGAGCTGCGCTCAACACACATTGGCGGAAATATCCCAGACCACTCAAAAGGGCTTACACAAGGTTTTGCACACACTTCACAGCTTTGTCACGCCAAGCGCGTGATCGAACTGCTTCAAGCAAGTTTGCGTGAATGCCTAAAAGCTTCAGGGCGTGGTCCCACTTCATGGGTTGTAGCGCTTTTGTGAAGATGTTGGCTCCTTGCAATTCTGTACGATACACCGATCTGCTCTCAAAGTGCGGGGAGGTTCACCTTGTGAGCATCTTCGGAGAGCAGCCCTACGCAGAGTAGCCCTACGAAACTAAAGGCTATAGGGAAGGCCCTCCTGGTACAAAAAGCGCGCAAGTGTCACAACCTTGGGTCTCGACGCTGACGTCTGCCTTTTGCTCAACCAAGCCAACGGGAAATGAGAATTTGGACCTTTGAGAACAAGGAAACCACCGGAGTTGGGTTCGCGTTTCTTGGACTTCTTACCCTTCTTCTCCTTGTTGGCTTCCACGGGCAACGTGCTTGTAGCTGCGTCCTTCCCCGTAGCTCGTACCGAAGGCTTGAGCTTCACGTCTTGATCAAACTCTTCGCGATTGTGCTTTTGTTGAATGAGTTCGATGGCAAGGCCGGCTTGCACCCAAAGCCGCTGAGCCGTACGACAGCTCAACTTCTCAACGCGACGCTTTAGGGCGGAACATTTCTCGAATTCATCAAGCAAATAATTCAACAGGGTACGCTCCTTCGGTTGCTGGTCAAGAGGAATGGCGCGAATAATTAGAACATACTTCTCGCGAATTGCCTCTAAGTTGGCTACCGGCTTTCAAACCAAGGGCATTGCGCTCGCCAAAGCTACCTACGCGGCCACGCTCTAACTGAAGGTGCTTGAAAATGGATCGCAACATCGCTTGCCTGGCGGGCATACTTCCGGCGAGGGTGCGCCCCTGCTCTACGATGGTTTGGAACAACAACCCAAACCTACCTTTGCGACAAGTTTTCAGCAAATTTTCATCAATCCAAAGTGGGGGTCGAGAGTTAGGGGGTCTAGGGTCAAATACAGGTTTGCCAATTTTCCAGTTTTTGCCAAGGTTTGCCAAGGTGTGCCAAGTTTTGCCAGATGTTGCCAAAAATTGGCACCAACATGCAAACAACATGCAAACAACATGCATGGCTTGCCGTGAGTCATGAGTCAAGTTGAACAACTGTTTGCCAAAAATTGGTCACACATACACGCATCCATCGCATCACATCACATCACATCACATCTTAACACATCACATTTGATCACATCACAAATGACAATCATGTAATACATACATACACACACATGCATAACACACAGACATAACATTTGTGCACTACGCTGCCTTACATCCCATTATGTTGCAGTACGATACATTACAACCTCTTCACACATACATACATACATACAGTGCAACCGTTCCATAGATAAATCACATTACATACATTACATACATTACACACACTGCACAACATACATACAAAACACACATGCACGCACGCGTACACACACACATGCCTACATCATGCACATAACACACATACACGCACAAGTGCGTACACACACATGCATTGCGTGCAGAACACAACAGTACATTACACTCAGGGACCCGGCCCGTCATGTTTATCTGCGGTCCAGCACTTCATGCTCACGTAGGGCCTGTCCACCTCGAGCTCGGCACTTGATGTACAAACGTGTGTGTGTGTGTGTACGTGTAGGTGTGTGTGTGATGTGTGTGTGCATATATGATTGAAATGCAATGTAGCGTTATTTAATGTAATGTCGTGTAATGTGGTGGTGTATGCGTGCATGTATGTAAGTATCCATGTAATGTAGGTAGTGTAGTGTAGTGTGATATGATGTGATGTGATGCGATGTGATGTATTGCGATGTGATGTCATGTATGTATGTGTGTATGTATGTCTGTAATGTATGTGTGTAATGTATGTATGTATGTATGTATGTATGTATGTATGTATGTATGTATGTATGTATGTATGTAATGTATGTATGTATGTCTGTAATGTAGTGTAATGTGCTGTCATGTCATGTAATGTAATGTGATGTACTGTAATGTAACGTAATGTACTGATATGTATGTATGTACGTATGGAATGTATGTATGTGCGTATGTATGTAATGTATGTATGCATGTATGTATGTAGGTATGTATGTAATGGTTGTATGTATGTATGTATGTATGCATGTATGCACGTATGCATGTAAGTTGTGTCATGTAAGTAATGTAATGTAATGTAATGTAATGTAAAGTAATGTAATGTAAGGTAATGTAATGTAATGTAATGTCATGCAATGTAATGTAATGTAATGTAAGTATGTATGTATGTATGTATGTGTATGTATATATTTAAATATGTATGTGTGCGCATGTGTGTGTGCTCGTATTTTTTGTGATGTAAGGTAATGCAGCGCAATGCAGTTTGATGTGATGTGATGTCATGTAATGTATGTAGTTATTGCAGGTTTGTATGTTATGTGTGTAATGTATATACCGGCCGAGGCCAAGAACAGACAAAATCGAAACGCGTTTTAAGGGCCCTTATGGCGCGCTTCCTTTTTGAGCTCCATCGGCCTCTCCTGGGATGTGTGCAATGTATGCATGCGTGAATGTATGTATGTATTTATGTACGAATGTGCTGTGTATGTGTGTATCTATGTAATGTATGTGTCTGCGGTATGTGTGTAATGTACGTAATGTGTGTATGTGTGCATGTATGTATGTATGTAATGTAATGTACTGCACTGTAATATAATGTGATGTAATGTAATGAAAATTCATGTCATGAAATTCATGTATGCACAGTACGTATGTATGTATGTACGTACGTATGCGTGTATGTCTGTAATGTATCTAAATATGTATGTGTGTATGCCTGTATGTGTGTATGTCAGGATGTATGTATGTACATGTGTGTATGTGTCACACGAATGTAATGTGTGTATGCATGTGGATATGGATGGTTGCCTGTGTATAATGTTAGTGTAGTATGTATGCTTGAATGTAAGCATATATGTGTGTGTAAGTATGAATGTGTATGTATGTATGTATGTATATGTGCATGTATGTATGTATGTATGTGTGTATGTGTGTATGTGTGTGTAATGCATGTATGTATGTATGTAGGTATGAATGTATGTGTGTATGCATCTCTGTATGTATGTGTGCATGTGTGGAATGTTATGTAATGTAATGTAATGTAATGTATGTATGTAACGTGTGTATGTACGTACGTATGTGTCTATGCATGTAACGTAATGTAATGTAACGTAGTGTAATGTAATGTAATGTAGTGTAATGTAATGTAATGTATGTATGTGTGTATGTGTGTGTATGTAATGTGTGTATGCATGCATGTATGTATGTATGTGTGTAATGTATGCATGAATGTGTGTATGTTTTGATGCATGTATTATGTATGTATATATGTAACGTATGTACGCATGTAATGTGATGTAATGCCATGTGATGGAATGGAATGCAATGTATGTATGAATGTGTGTATGTTTTGATGCATGTGTTCATGTATGTATGTATGTATGTAACGTATGTACGCATGTAATGTGATGCAATGCCATGTAATGGAATGGAATGCAATGTATGTATGTATGTATGTAATGTATGTATGTATGTATGTATGTATGTATGCGTGTGTATGTATGTACGTATGTACGCATGTATGTATGCATGTATGTGTGTGTATGTGTGTATGTGTGTAAGTATGTGTGTATGCATGTATGCATGTATGCATGCATGCATGTGTGTATGTATGTATGTATGTACATATGTATGTATGTAATGTAATGTGGTGTGATGTGATGTAATGTAACGGTATGTAATGTTACGTTTTTGTATGTTGTTATGCGGGTATGTACGTATGCATGTAAGGTAATGCAATGTAGTGTCATGTAATGTAATTTAAGGTAATGTAGTTTAGTGTAACCTAATGTATGTATGCATGCATGTATGTATGTATGTATGTGTGTGTATGTCTATCTGTAT